TGATCTTAATTAATTCTTCTGATATTTTGACTGATGCTTTCTTCTGACTTTCACACTCTGTTTTTGAAACTTTTAAATCTTCTTTTAGTTTTCGAATTTCATAAATATAACTCTTGATGCAATTTGAATAAATATCTTCTGTATGTGAGTTCACAATTTCTTGTTTCATTTTCATTATTGAAATGATTAATTAACAAGAATAGTTTTGTATATATAATCTATGTGATCTTCATAATTTGTTTAATGTAGAATATCAATATCATAAAACAAATACAAACAAATTGATTTTATATTATTATTAGATCAAATAATACAGTTTTTGAAAGGTTTATTTCATTTTGCAATTAAAAATACTGTTTTCTGATATAAATTCGTTATACTTATATATTTTCCATGTATGTAATAACAAATTAATTAAATATGTTGATCAAAAACATTGTATTACTAGACAATCTTTAGAAACTCGTTAATACTTGTCGAATCTCTGTCATGAACATTGCCAATTTAATGCAATTAGTTGTTTTGATATACTGATTCATCAATATATTCCTTCTAATTCGGAAGAAAATATGAATCAAAGAAAAAAAAATTAATAAAAAGTGTTGGAATTTTTTAATGTCACGTTTCAGTGATTTTCTCTCTTCGGAGAGATTATCACTTTCATCATTTTGAAAATATTCCAAAAAACATCTGGTATGAATTATATGGTGAAAATAACAAAACAAATCCTAAAACTTGCGTTAATTGTTCGATTTCTGTTACTAATTCGGAGTGTTTTGTTTTACTTAGTTTTTTTCATGACCTTGAAGAAGGTGCTATTTCAATTACAACGGATGATATCAAATTATTACATTCCGAATGTTCATTCAATGACTGCAAAAGGAGTGAAGGAGGTTCTGTTTGCGTGAACGGTCATAATTCAGTTATTCAACATCGATGTTGTTCATTATATTCACAAGCATCAAATAGAGGACAACATTCACGTTCATATTTATCCTATGGAAATTTTAATTATTTTCTTGAAAGTTGTGTTTCATCATGTGGGAAAAAAGAAGAAGGATTAGAAACTATTTATTGTGACCATGGTATTATTAATATTAGTTATTCAAACATTAGTAATAACAATGTCGGAGATTATGCTGCTGCATATGGAATAGCACCATTTAATTCAATTGGAAAAGTCAATTTTTGTTCAATTTGTCAAAATCATTGCGATTATCAGGTTCTTATGCATTATAGTATTGATTCTCCAACACATTATCTCATTAATAGTAATATTCTAAATAATTCACAATCAGTACAAGTTATGGTATCATTGTTGTTATGAAAAATGACTATTTCTAAATGTTCAATTTTTGGAAATTTTGGAAATGGACCATTGATTTATAATAATGCTAATCCATTAATAATCGAGAATTGTCATATTGATAATTTAACATATGACATTGAACCTCACATAGATACATTCAATATTGATTCTCTTACATCTTATCATTTATTTTCATATTTTTCAACTAATAATTGTTTAATTCCTTTCAATCCTCGACATCGAGAAACAGTTATCAAACAACAAGTCAAATATAAAGAAGGAAAGTATATTATTCATATTTCAATTCCCTTCTTTGAACCTTTGCTATCAATAAAATAAGAATGAAATTCAGAAATATTTGATTTTTCTAATTTTGTTAAGATTAATTTTTCTGAGTATAGTCTATCCTCTATTCTCCACCATTAAAAACATGTATGGTCCATGAATTATAAGATGAACGACAAAATTTATTCCGAAATCACAACATTATCTAATGAAGTCAAAAATATTCCACAAATACTAATATCGGTCATCATACACACAGTTAACATTGAAGCAAAAGTAGCTATAGTTTTGCAAACATTACTTAAATATTATGAAACATTTTACATAATAATTATCATAACAAACAAATAAATAATAAATTAATAATTAATTTTCTTGAGGATTGGAATCAGAATCAGAATATGTTGATAATGATAGTGATGTTCCAGGGAATGAAACTCTTTTGGATGGAGATGGATTTGGTGAATTGTGTGAAGAAATTTTGTCTTGAATTCGAAGAACTGTGCGTTGTAAATTATTGAATGATCGTTCAAGGTCTTCGGCAAATATTCGTGCTTCTTCTGCTTCTGATGCTGACTTCTTTTGACGTTCAATAGCAAGATCAAAATCGCGATGACTTGAAATAAGTTGATTTTGTAATTCTTCAATAGTGGAACTTTGTTTAATCATAGATTGTGTATATTCTTCTTTCTTATATTGAAGTTCTTCTTCATATCGTCTCAAACATTGTTCTGCTTCTTCGGCTCGTTTCAATAATGAATTATGTTGTGAACGAAGTGTTTCAATTTCTTTGTCATATACACGTGATGTTTCTAATTGTTCTTGTGCATGTTGTAATGCATCTGTGATAGATTGACATTTATTTTCGCTTTTCGATAGTTGATCACGTAATGTTGAAATTGTTGAATCGCGTTCACAAACAATAGATTCAAGTTGTTTAGATCTGTTGATTGATTCTTCAAGTGAAATAACACGATATTTAAGATCTTCGATGAATGAACTTTGTTCGGCATATCGATGTTCGTTGAAAGAAACTTGTGATTGTAATTTTTGATTGATAGAATAAAGTTTGTCTGAACTTTCTTTCATTTCGTTGTATTCTGATTTGAGTGAAAAAGTTCTGAATTTAATGATGAGAGTTTTGTATTCGATTCTGTTAACTGTTTTCGAAGTGAAATACATTCTGATTCCGACTCTGTGAGTTTGATTGTGTAATATTCACGTGATGAAATTAATTCTCGATTCCTTTCGTTGAGTTCTGATATCTTTCGTTTAAGATTTTCGACTTCTTTCTGACTTGATGTTAATTCGTTATTCATTCGTTTCATTTCAAGTTTTGATTTTTCAAAATGTCTTCTTGAATATTCTTAAGATGATCAAGATTTTTTGTAAGTTCGATATTTGTTTTCTTATATCGTTCGTTTTCATGTTTGATCTTAATTAATTCTTCTGATATTTTGACTGATGCTTTCTTCTGACTTTCACACTCTGTTTTTGAAACTTTTAAATCTTCTTTTAGTTTTCGAATTTCATAAATATAACTCTTGATGCAATTCGAATAAATATCTTCTGTATGCGAGTTCACAATTTCTTGTTTCATTTTCATTATTGAAATGATTAATTAACAAGAATAGTTTTGTATATATAATCTATGTGATCTTCATAATTTGTTTAATGTAGAAATCAATATCATATCAATCAAACATAAATAAAACAAATACCAAATTGATTTAATATTATTATTAGATCAAATAATACAGTTTTTGAAAGGTTTATTTCATTTTGCAATTAAAAATACTGTTTTCTGATATAAATTCGTTATACTTATATATTTTCCATGTATGTAATAACAAATTAATTAAATATGTTGATCAAAAACATTGTATTACTAGACAATCTTTAGAAACTCGTTAATACTTGTCGAATCTCTGTCATGAACATTGCCAATTTAATGCAATTAGTTGTTTTGATATACTGATTCATCAATATATTCCTTCTAATTCGGAAGAAAATATGAATCAAAGAAAAAAAATTAATAAAAAGTGTTGGAATTTTTTAATGTCACGTTTCAGTGATTTTCTCTCTTCGGAGAGATTATCACTTTCATCATTTTGAAAATATTCCAAAAAACATCTGGTATGAATTATATGGTGAAAATAACAAAACAAATCCTAAAACTTGCGTTAATTGTTCGATTTCTGTTACTAATTCGGAGTGTTTTGTTTTACTTAGTTTTTTTCATGACCTTGAAGAAGGTGCTATTTCAATTACAACGGATGATATCAAATTATTACATTCCGAATGTTCATTCAATGACTGCAAAAGGAGTGATGGAGGTTCTGTTTGCGTGAACGGTCATAATTCAGTTATTCAACATCGATGTTGTTCATTATATTCACAAGCATCAAATAGAGGACAACATTCACGTTCATATTTATCCTATGGAAATTTTAATTATTTTCTTGAAAGTTGTGTTTCATCATGTGGGAAAAAAGAAGAAGGATTAGAAACTATTTATTGTGACCATGGTATTATTAATATTAGTTATTCAAACATTAGTAATAACAATGTCGGAGATTATGCTGCTGCATATGGAATAGCACCATTTAATTCAATTGGAAAAGTCAATTTTTGTTCAATTTGTCAAAATCATTGCGATTATCAGGTTCTTATGCATTATAGTATTGATTCTCCAACACATTATCTCATTAATAGTAATATTCTAAATAATTCACAATCAGGTACAAGTTATGGTATCATTAGTTGTTATCGAAAAATGACTATTTCTAAATGTTCAATTTTTGGAAATTTTGGAAATGGACCATTGATTTATAATAATGCTAATCCATTAATAATCGAGAATTGTCATATTGATAATTTAACATATGACATTGAACCTCACATAGATACATTCAATATTGATTCTCTTACATCTTATCATTTATTTTCATATTTTTCAACTAATAATTGTTTAATTCCTTTCAATCTTCAACATCAAGAATCAGTTATCAAACAACAAGTCAAATATAAAGAAGGAAAGTATATTATTCATATTTCAATTCCCTTCTTTGAACCTTTGCTATCAATAAAATAAGAATGAAATTCAGAAATATTTGATTTTTCTAATTTTGTTAAGATTAATTTTTCTGAGTATAGTCTATCCTCTATTCTCCACCATTAAAAACATGTATGGTCCATGAATTATAAGATGAACGACAAAATTTATTCCGAAATCACAACATTATCTAATGAAGTCAAAAATATTCCACAAATACTAATATCGGTCATCATACACACAGTTAACATTGAAGCAAAAGTAGCTATAGTTTTGCAAACATTACTTAAATATTATGAAACATTTTACATAATAATTATCATAACAAACAAATAAATAATAAATTAATAATTAATTTTCTTGAGGATTGGAATCAGAATCAGAATATGTTGATAATGATAGTGATGTTCCAGGGAATGAAACTCTTTTGGATGGAGATGGATTTGGTGAATTGTGTGAAGAAATTTTGTCTTGAATTCGAAGAACTGTGCGTTGTAAATTATTGAATGATCGTTCAAGGTCTTCGGCAAATATTCGTGCTTCTTCTGCTTCTGATGCTGACTTCTTTTGACGTTCAATAGCAAGATCAAAATCGCGATGACTAGAAATAAGTTGATTTTGTAATTCTTCAATAGTGGAACTTTGTTTAATCATAGATTGTGTATATTCTTCTTTCTTATATTGAAGTTCTTCTTCATATCGTCTCAAACATTGTTCTGCTTCTTCGGCTCGTTTCAATAATGAATTATGTTGTGAACGAAGTGTTTCAATTTCTTTGTCATATACACGTGATGTTTCTAATTGTTCTTGTGCATGTTGTAATGCATCTGTGATAGATTGACATTTATTTTCGCTTTTCGATAGTTGATCACGTAATGTTGAAATTGTTGAATCGCGTTCACAAACAATAGATTCAAGTTGTTTAGATCTGTTGATTGATTCTTCAAGTGAAATAACACGATATTTAAGATCTTCGATGAATGAACTTTGTTCGGCATATCGATGTTCGTTGAAAGAAACTTGTGATTGTAATTTTTGATTGATAGAATAAAGTTTGTCTGAACTTTCTTTCATTTCGTTGTATTCTGATTTGAGTGAAAAAAGTTCTGAATTTAATGATGAAAGTTTTGTATTCGATTCTGTTAACTGTTTTCGAAGTGAAATACATTCTGATTCGGACTCTGTGAGTTTGATTGAGTAATATTCACGTGATGAAATTAATTCTCGATTCCTTTCGTTGAGTTCTGATATCTTTCGTTTAAGATTTTCGACTTCTTTCTGACTTGATGTTAATTCGTTATTCATTCGTTTCATTTCAAGTTTTGATTTTTCGAAAATGTCTTCTTGAATATTCTTAAGATGATCAAGATTTTTTGTAAGTTCGATATTTGTTTTCTTATATCGTTCGTTTTCATGTTTGATCTTAATTAATTCTTCTGATATTTTGACTGATACTTTCTTCTGACTTTCACACTCTGTTTTTGAAACTTTTAAATCTTCTTTTAGTTTTCGAATTTCATAAATATAACTCTTGATGCAATTTGAATAAATATCTTCTGTATGTGAGTTCACAATTTCTTGTTTCATTTTCATTATTGAAATGATTAATTAACAAGAATAGTTTTGTATATATAATCTATGTGATCTTCATAATTTGTTTAATGTAAAATATCAATATCATAAAACAAATACAAACAAATTGATTTTATATTATTATTAGATCAAATAATACAGTATTTGAAAGGTTTATTTCATTTTGCAATTAAAAATACTGTTTTCTGATATAAATTCGTTATACTTATATATTTTCGATGTATGTAATAACAAATTAATTAAATATGTTGATCAAAAACATTGTATTACTAGACAATCTTTAGAAACTCGTTAATACTTGCCGAATCTCTGTCATGAACATTGCCAATTTAATGCAATTAGTTGTCTTGATATACTAATGCATAAAAAATCCCTTCTAATTCGGAAGAAAATATGAATCAAAGAAAAAAAAATTAATAAAAAGTGTTGGAATTTTTTAATGTCACGTTTCAGTGATTTTCTCTCTTCGGAGAGATTATCACTATCATCATTTTGAAAATATTCCAAAAAACATCTGGTATGAATTATTTGGTGAAAATAACAAAACAAATCCAACAACATGTGTTAATTGTCCAGTTTCTGTTACTAATTCGGAGTGTTTTGTTTTACTTAGTTTTTTTCATGATCTTGCAAGTGGTGCTATTTCAATTACAACGAATAATATCAAATTATTACATTCCGAATGTTCATTCAATGACTGCAAAAGGAGTGAAGGAGGTTCTGTTTACGTGAAAGGTCAAGATTCAGTTATTCAACATCGATGTTGTTCATTATATTCACAAGCATCAAACACTGGACAACATTCATGTTCATATTTATCCTATGGAAATTTTAATTATTTTCTTGAAAGTTGTGTTTCATCATGTGGACAAAAAGAAGAAGGATATGATACTATTTATTGTAGTTATGGTATTATTAATATTAGTTATTCAAATATTAGTAATAACAATGTCGGAGATATTGCAGCAGCATATGCAATATCACCATTTAATTCAATTATCAGAATATGTGACAGAAAACCTTAAATTGCGCGGCAATTTTAATTAAAAAAATAAACATTAATTTTTGTGATTGATATTATGCATTTTATTTATATTATATAAGATTTAAATTTAGGGAAAAAATTGGAAAAAAAATAAGATTGGAAGTCTTTAGGTAAGAAGGAAAGGGCAAGAGATATATAGTGTACCTATATACCTCTTGCCCTTTCATTCTAAGTAGAAATGGGAGAAACTTTGTCCGCATCATAAGTTATGCGGACAAAGTTTCTCCGATTTCTAATGGGAATTGCAGGCTATGAGGCACTGATATATAATCAGTACCTCATAGCCTACAATTCCCCTTATTAGACTTCCAAACTTTGAGTTAATGTCAAGACATTAACTCAAAGTTTGGAAAACTTCTCGTAAGAATCAATCGTCAAAAACCTCGATTGCAGTTATATTCATTGTGTTAAATTTGATTTATTTTGAAATTTTTATAAATTAAATTTTATATAACATAAAGCGTTATGAATTAGTATTTCCATATGAATTTTATCTCGAAAATAGTAATTCTGTACAGTTATATTTCGGTTAATTTTGGAAATTTCTAGGAATACTTTAAGATAGTATGATTATATATAACTCTGCCTTCATGATTTATTTTAGCTTTCGCGCAAATATCAGTTAACTTAACTCCATTATTTGATTTTGTGATGGCTTCACAAAGCCAATCAATATCAATCTCTTCTGGAGAATGTCTTCTCATCTAGAATATTTTCAATACTTTACATACAAACATTTTTATTTCTAAAAAACTTTTTAATTTTTTCTAGGATATATGAATGAAAATAGTTAGAACAAGATTTTGAAGCTCAAAACATTAAAAATTATTAAAGATTTGTATAATATGATTAAAAATGGGAAATAATATGAGGCAATATAAAGGAATATGAATATTAAATAAATATATCTAAATAGAAAGAATCAGAAAAATCAAATTATTGGCGCCAAAAATGTCACCTTTTTGGTGAGCCATTTCGGTATGAGATAGTGATTTTAAAAAGATTGCACAAAAAATGAAAGGTGTTAGTTTACGACAAAATAAGCAATTAACACCTAAAAATTATTTGGATATAATAAATGATAAAGTGATATTTGATGGTCAGAATATTAATTTACAACTTAAAAACGGGTCAATGACTCGCTTAACAATCGGTAAGACTGCATTAACAGGAGCACACACTAAGGCTGTATGTTGTGAAAATGGATGTTGTATGCCATTTATTTAATACAATTTAAAATTTTATTTTTAATAAAATGCCACAGAAGAGACAAAAGGAACCGTTAATGATGGTTTTGATACTATGATTCAAAGAGGTGGGCACCCTTAAACATTTATTTTATTTTTATATAAATGGATAACGCAGATTTAGAAATTTTAATTGATGATTTAGTACTTAATCAAAATTTTCTTAATTATTATGAATTAAAATCATATCTCCAAAAACATAATAACAATATAACGAGTGATGATATGGATTATTATTATTCGTATTATAAAAATGAAATTTTGAAATATCATGATAAAATAATTTCTGAAATTAAAGACAAAATTAAAAATAATGAATATACAAAGGGAAAAACTAAATCACAACTTAAACAGTTGAAAGATTTCAAAAATAAAGTATTAACAGAAGAAGATATTGATGAATTATATAAATTATATAATCCCGAGCCGCAAAAACCAAAGGAACAAAAACAAAAGAAGAAAAAGCCGAGCTCTAAAGTAGCAAATGTTCAACAGCTAAAGGTGCAAAACGCCCAGGTCCTTCAGACCATAAATGAAGCACAAGCTTTAATTTATGATTCATTAGTTAAATCATATTCAGCCCGACTTTTAAAGGAAGATCAACTTTTGGAATTCATCCTTCAACATAAACTCGAAGCGGGAAAGTATATCAAAACTTTATATACAGCATATTTAAAACAAATGAATAGAATACATCCAGAATTAATGAAAGGAAAATCAACAACTAAAACTTCATCATCCAAAATCAAAGCAGATAAAATTAAACCACTTGCAACACCAAAACCTCCAACAACAGTACCTCCACCTCCTTCAGTTAATCCTTCATCATTCACTTTATTATATCCATTTCAAACATTAAAGAAACAAAAAGATTTTAAAAAGGATTTCAAGATATTAAATAAACCAATTGACCCGAAAATTCAACCGTTAAAGGAAAAATTTAGTCGCCCTTCATTTGCTCCATATCCATATTCATACAAAATCGATCATCTGGAATATTCAAAAGGAAACTTTACTTATTTATTCGCCATTAACATTAACACTAGATATTTATATTGCATTCCAGTGAAAGGGAAAACAGAACAGGAAACAAGAAGGGCTATACAATACTTACTAGATCATGAAAGAGTAGATAATATCAGGGGTGATGGTGATAAAGGATTTCAGGCAGCTATGATTCATTATTTCCCACAAATTAATTTTTACTTCTCATCTTCTCCATATACGTTTCATAATAAAATAGTTGATGCGGTAATGAGAACTCTTAGAGATGCATTAGGGGTTAACGGTCGGATATACTGGGATGGAAATCATGACTCCATCATACAGCAGTTAGTATATTATTACAATAATACATGGCATAGAACTATAAACATGAAACCAGTGGAAATGAAAAATGATATTTCAAAAGAATGGGAATATATTAGAAAGCAAATGGAAAGGTTAAATGATGTTAAACGTGAACAAATTAATTCGGGGCTCATGAATTTTAAAAAAGGGGATAAAGTTTTGATTCATCTCGATTATGGAAAAACTGATAAATCAATGACAAAAAGAAGACGAAGATTTGACACAATAGCTGAATTTGTTAGATATATTAACGGTAATGTATTAGTTGAAGTTGACAATAAATTAATAGAAATTCCGATTTATTTTATTACTCCATTATATTTAAATAATATTTAATTTTTTTTATTTCGTAAGAAATGTGTGACAACAAAGCAGCCAAGAGTCCTGACGATGAATATAAAAAGAAACTAAACAGAATTAAATCAAAAATATGCTATTACAAAAAGAAGCCGCAATGTGGTGGGGCTGATGCCCATAAAACTAAAGTAATTGAAAACGATAAAGAGAGGAAAGAAATAATCGAAAAATTAGAAACTTACCGTTCAATCCTTAAACTGAGTGAAGCAAAAATAAAAGAATTTAATAGAATAAATAAATTGATTGGAAGAGATGAATTTAATAAAGGTGAATTTTTAAACTCAATCCAAATTTAATTTTTTCAGTGCTACCATGTTACCATGTGCTACCAGGTTAATTAACTTCTCTGAAAAATGATGACAACATGACATTTTGACAACAACACAGGAAATATATTTTATCGTTAATGTTTTCATTAATGATTTCATAAATGTTTTCATGAATTTTATATATTAATGTTTACGTTAATGATTTCGGATTAT